TCCTGGCCCCTCTGGTCATCCGCACAGTTTAACTTTCTGGGGCTCTGCGTTTCAGCTTTAAGCCTCAAGGAAAATGGAAAGGCTGGGGCGTGTTTCTGGCCCTGAAGCTCTGCTTCTTTATAAACAGGCATCCCCCGAGGGGTGCAGGTTAGGGTGTTGCCACAAAGTTTCTAATAGTTTTTGTGTGTGTGAGAAAATATACGTAACATAACATTTACCATTTCAGACATTTTTAAGTGTAAACTTCAATGGCATTAAGTATATTCACAATGTTGTGCAGCCTTCATCGCTGTCCATTTCCAAAATGTTTTCATCATCCCCTATAGAAGCTCTGTACCCATTGAAGAGTAACTCCCCATTATTCTCTCCCCCAGCCCCTGGTACCCACCATTCTATTGATGCTTTCTGTCTCTATGAATTTGCCAATTCTAGGTGTCTCATATAAGTAGAATTAGACAATATCTGTCCTTTTGTGACTGGCTTATTTCACTTAGCATAATGCCTTCAAGCTTCATCCATATTGTAGCCCAAATCAGAATTTTTTTATGGCTGAATAGAGTTCTGTTGTACGTTTATGCCGCTTGTTGTGTATCCATTCATCTGTCGATGGACTCGGGTTGTTTCCATTGGCTGTTGTCTAATAACCTTTAACGTAATAGGTGGGATCTGGCTCCTCGGTGACCTAGGACTGAAGCAGGAGATAGATGGGCTCCAGGTTAGACATTTAAAGTCAGCCTCCTGGGACTTCCCTGGTGGTGCAGTGGTTAAGAATCCGCCTGCCAATGCAGAGGACACAGGTTCGAGCCCTGGTCCGGGAAGATCCCACATGCCGCGGAGCAAGTAAGCCCGTGCGCCACAACTACTGAGCCTGCGCTCTGGAGCTGGAGAGCCACAACTGCTGAGCCCGTGCGCCTAGAGTCCGTGCTCCACAACAAGAGAAGCCACCGCAGTGAGAAGCCCACGCTCACCGCAACAAAGAGTAGCCCCCGCTCTCTGCAACTAGAGAAAGCCCGCGCGCAGCAACGAAGACCCAATGCAGCCAAAAATAAATAAATCAATTAATTTATTAAAAAAAAAAAAGAGAGAAGACACCACAATGAGAAGCCCGCGCACCACAACAAAGAGTAGCCCCCGCTTGCCGCAACTAGAGAAAGCCCGCGCGCAGCAACGAAGACCCAACACAGCCAAAAATAAATAAATAAATTTATTTAAAAAAAAAAAAATCAGCCCCCTGTTTCCTCTCCGAAATGGAAGTAACAACAGAAACAGGGTAAATAGCCAGGTTTTGTCTCCCCTGGACGCCTTAAGATAACAGTCACGGCAGGGACAGAGAGGGGCTAAACCCTGTCTGAGAAAAAGCTCAAGAGGTCACATATTTCCCATCCTTGGGGCAAGGGAGACACTACACATGCGCAGAAAGGCTCCTTGGGGGTCAAAAAGGAGGGGGCACTGCCCCATAATATGTGATGCTAAGGCTGTCCCATAGGCCTCTTGGCTGAAACCCATCTTGGAAAAAAGTTGTGCACACATGTTGGGGAGAGTCCTAGGGCAGGGCAGGTGTGGAAAAAGAAACCAGGTAATTGGCCAAAGGTAAGCAAAGACCCGGAAGAACTGCCCTATATGAATGACTTAACCGCCTCTTTACTGCACTCCTCCTCATTGGGGAGGACGCCCACACCCTTGCTCTCCGGGTGTGCATCTCTGCCTTGCTTCTGTCTTAACTAAACAGTTTCTCTGTGTGCTCTCCCACTTGTTGTTGTGCCATGTCTCTAATAATAAACTTTGAGCTGTTTTCACAGTTTTTGCCTACGCGAGAAATGCATTTTTCACGGGGGGCAAGAGACAGGGGGTGTGGTGACTAGGATTCCTGGTTTTCATCCAGGCTACCCAGGTTCAATTCCTGGTCAGGGAAGTAAGATCTCGCTTCACATCGCCACTCACTGCTGCCTCTCTGAGATCAGGACCAATTTAACAACTACCTTTCGATTTACTTTATTTCATTCTCTGGAAATAGGATATCAAACAGTATGACTTGGACCCAGGGCTGGGCAGGCAAGCTAGGGCTAGAGAGGGGGAAGCATGGGTAGCTTATTTATGTATGGACCTTTGCAGAGCTGGTCAGAGATAGCACCCTGGGTGGGTGGGGCTGTATGACACAGGGTTTCTGACTCTATAAGAAAAGAGACCTTTCATTTAAACCCATTCATTTATCCGTTCATTCATTAGCTCACTCATTCCAGTATTATTGAATGAGGTAGTGAGCTCAGCCTGCCCTGAGCTTCCAACCACTAGAGGCAGAGAGACAAGTAAATCGCTACTGACAACACCTAAGGGTGAGGGTCTGGGGAGGATAAGAATGGCAGGCTGTGGGAACACAGAGGGGGCCCCTCACCTGTACCTGGGAGCCAGGAAAAGCTTCGGAGGAAGTCAGACCTGTGTCAAGTCATAAGGAGAGGGAAAAAGTTAGCCAGGTGGAGAAGGCGGTCAGGAAGAGCGAGCCAGGCCTAGGAGGGGCGGCTTAGGTGTATGGCTTGTGTTTTGAGGTGAGGGTGCCAAGATTCATGAAAGGCCGGAAAAGTGAAGCCACAGGTGCGGGCAGAGATCATTCGGTGAGGGACCTCGGATGGTGTTTGGGCTTAATCCTGGGGCAGAAGAGAGGTCCTGATGGCTTTGAAGTAGGAGAGGGACCGATCAGAAGAAAGAGATCCTGTTCTTCCCTCGAAGAAGGCATCTAAGAGAAAGCCACAGGAGCCGACGTGTGTGCGCTTTCCGAGTACAAGGTGCTGCTCTGGCACTTCAGCTTATTCTCTCAGTTAATCCTCACAACAGCTGACCAAGATGAATGACAGGGAAATGGAGGCCTAGAGAGAAACTCACCAAGGGCTCCAAGTGGGGGTGGCAGGATGCAGACCCAACCATCAACTCGGCTATTCAGTGTGGTCCGTGGACCAGAGGCAACTGCATCTCCAGGGAGCTTGTTAGAAATGCCGAACCTCAGCCCCACCCCAGACCTTCTGGATCAGAGCCTGCATGTTCACAGGATCCCCACGTGATTCTGGAGCACACTGAAGTTTGAAAAGCACTGATGGTGATTCCCGAAACATTAGATTCTCCTGGGCAGTTTTGAAAATCTTTGGTGCCCAGGTTGCACTCCCAGATCAATTACATCAGAATTTCTGGGGCTATCAACACACAATTGGTTTAAGAATATGTGGTGTGTGTGTATATATATATATATATATATATACACACACACACACACAATGGAATATCACTTACCCATAAAAAGGATGAAATATTGCCATTTGCAGCAATGGGGATGAACCTAGAGAATATCATACTAAGTAAGTCAGAGAAAGACAAATATTATATCACTTGTATGTGGAATCAAAAAAATAATACAAAGGAATCTACATACAAAACAGAAACAGAAGAGACTCACAAACAGAAAACAAACTTATGGTTACCAAAGGGGGAAGGGGTAGGGGAGGATAAATTAGGAGTATGAGATTAACAGATACAAACTACCATACATAAAATAGATAAGCAACAAGGGTTTACTGTATAGCACAGAGAACTCTATTCAATATCTTGTAATAAGTATAATGGAAAATAATCTGAAAAAAAAATATATATATATATATATATATATTACTGAATCACTTTGCTGTATACCTAAAACTAACACAATATTGTGTATCAGTTATATTTCAGTTAAAAAAAAAGAATTTCTGGGGCATCAGAATTTTTCAAAGTTCCCTGGGTGATGTCAGTCAAGCTCTTGCATTATGTGTCCCTGTTTCCAGGGAGGACAGGCTAACTCCTGCAGAGAAACTAGGCACAAGCTGGTAGCATCCACCCAGCCGCCGGGGGCTCTGCGGCTTTAAGAACTGGGGCCAGCTGCCCGCCTAGGAGGCCACTGGCCAGCGCATAGGCCACATGAGCACAGGCTGCCGAGCAAGGCTGCGACAGTCTGCGCTGGGGCTGGTCTGGGCTTGCAGACCCGAGCCCTGCAGAACAACCCGGGTGGTGCAGGCGAGCTGAAGAAAGGGGACATTTGTGCCTTTTTGAGGGAAGCATACATTTTTGCAAGGCGGTAAACAAAGAGAGGAACTGTTTGTAGCCCTAGTCCAGACGTCCCAAGCAAACAGTAAGTCAGGAGGGCACGGAACACAGCACAGCCCCCCTCTGTCCCAGGCGATGTCCGCATACCCCGCCGCCATCGGAGGAGCTGAAGGGCCTGCGGAGCCCGCGCAGGGCAAAGCCAGTTAGCAGGGCACAAAATTTCCTGAACTTCTCCCCAGGGGTTCCCATCTGTTCTTAGCTTTGGAAAGCTGGGCTCATAATAGGTAGCACCTGATGACGGACGCACCCCACGTGTGGGTAGCCTGCCTCCTCTCTGTCCTCCCTCACTCCTGGGCCTTTCAGTTCAGGTCATTGCCCTGAGGACCCAAGGTCACGTGAAAGCAAAGAAAGAGAAACTGAAACTTGTCGGAAGTAACCTTTGGCCTTTGGGCCACAGTCCTGCTGGCGACGAGGTGATAAAGCTAATGGCCAAGGTGAGGGTGAGGGGAGCGGGGGTGCAGGGACTCCAGATGCCGCAGACATGGGCAGTCAGCTGGGCGCCCACAGGACACAGGCGGGGACCTCTGGGGAGGGAAAGGTGGAGGCGAGGCCGTCACGCCCACCTTGGCTGCAGACAGAGCTTTCTTCCAGCCATGAGCCCCCTTGTCTCGGTCTCCACTGGTGGGGCAGGACCAACATGGCGCAGGTGACCGCCGTGGTGGGCTTCTGACCTGTGGGCCACCAAACGCTAAAGACAAAGCCTTGTGACTTTTGGGTGTCCCCTATGTAGCGTTACCTGTGCCCCCCTGCCCCGCTCCTTCGTGATGGACCATCAAGAGCCCGCTGTAATCCACCTTACTTGGCATGCAAAAATGATCATGTGTTGGGGGTGGGTAGCAGGTTGCGATTATGTTGGCATTGATTGGGATGCAGAGGAGGGAAGCTACTCTGTGTCTTCAAGATAACTGGGTACAAGTGAAAAGGAAGGGAAGGAGAGGTCCAAGGGCAGAAGGCAAAGACAAAGCCCAGAGGGGTGGAGGTAAAGTGGGGAAGAAGGAAGGGGAAGGTGGCCTGGGGTGAGGCAGGGCAGGGCAGGGTGGGGTTAGCTGAGAGAAAGCTAAACTGTGGCTTATACCTAATTATGACGAAACATCTTAAAGGGTCATATGTGACTTCCAGACGCAGGGCTAGATTCCGGGAAATCAACTGCTGGCCCATGACATGTTTGATGTATAAATCTGAGCATCTTTAGACAATGGAAGTATTTCATATGTGACCCTGAAAATTCTGAAACACCAGGCTCACATTGCAGCAGGGCAGCTGAAGCTGGAGCTGCCTGTTCACCAAAGTCCCCACTCACCCTGCAAGCATTTTGTATCCCCACCCCATGCCCCAACTTGTGTGCCTGCTTCCCATAGGCATTGCAGATTACTGCTCCTTCTGCTCTTGATAATAATGGTTCTCCTCTATTGAGAGCCGGTGTGCGTGTGCGTGTGTGTGCGTGTGTGTGTGCGCGCGCACACGCACACACACACACACACACACACACACACACACACACACACACACACACACACACACACACACACACCAGGCACACAGGTGTGCTCGTTTTCAATTAACCTCAATTAATCTCTCCCTTTTTCAGTTGAGGATGACAGATGCACAAAACCAAACATACCTTTCTCCTTAGATTTCGCAGCCTTTCCCGGCGATCTGCCAAATTGCTAGATGGTATTTGCATTAAAAAAATTTTTGAGTGCATTTTATTATTTTGGTTTTAAGGATTTCCCAGCTTGCCTTAAGGCCATATTTCATTTATGCCACATTTTATAGCTTCACAACATTTCTTGAACGTACGTGAATTGATTTTATCCTTCTAGCAGTTGCGTGAGGTCAAGTAGTTTGCGCTTCCTTCCTGTGCTCTCTTGGAGAAAACCAACTAGCAGAGATGCTAAATGACTTCCCTTGGTCCTGCAGTAATTTTGAAGAAAAGTTAACATTTGGGCACAGCTCTCTGGAAAACTAAGCCATGTTCTTTGGCTGCATGGAATTGTGCAAATTATGCTTTGAAAAGCATAGTGACTAAGGATATGATCTCCATCCAGATCACTTGTTTGACTACTGGTTTGGCCACTCAATAGCCATGAGTCTTTGGACAAAGTGCTCAATCTACCTGCGCCTTCTTTTCTGTAAAATGATAATGGCCCTTATCTAGGGAGTGTTGTGTGGATTAAATGTGATAATACATGTGAAGTATTTAGAACAATGTCTGGCACACAGTAAGCTTTCAGTAAATATTACCATCAGTACTAAAATTATCGTTATCTGCTCCTTTGGGAAATGTTCTGTATTACTTAGGGTGCTGGCTAAGTTGTAACAAAAAGACCAAAGAATACATTTTCTCAAAAAAGGAGAGACATGTATTTCTCTTTCACCTCATAGCTAAGAGGATGCTAGTCAGTCCAGGACAGGTAAACAACTCTGCTCCACAGGGTCATTCAGGGACCCAGGTTCCCTCCACTGTGTTGCTCCCCATCCCCTATGGTGTCCTCTTCTGCATAGTCAAAGCTGGCTCAACATCACGTCCACCTTCTGTTCCTGCCTGGAGGAAGAGGAGGAGAGGAGGAGAGGAGGGGGAAGGCCAGCAGCCCCCTTCTAAATGATGTCATTCAGAGGTTGTCCATGTCCTTCCATTGGCCAGAACTTGGACACACTAAGCTGCAAGTGAGCCTGGGAAATGTATTATCTAACTGGGCCAGCTAAATATGCCCAGCTAAAACTTAGGAGTTCTCTTATTAAAAGGAAGAAAGGGAGAGTGGAAATTGGGATAGTTCACAGTCTCTGTGCCATGTTGCCATGAGACGTGTGCTTTGGACCTGAATTTGAAGTCATTAATGTCTTCTTGGTCTACCAGTTTCTCAGCCCATTGGTGCTCTACATCTTGTCTATTGGATGTCTGCTTTACCCTTGGATTTCTTCTTTAGCAAAATCCAAGGATGGCTCTTAGCTCCATGTTTCAGATAAACACCTCTGGTGGCAGTGTGATTCTCTCCAACAGGCTGGTCAGACTGACTGTCCACTGGATTGGGCAGCCTGTTCCTTCACTGCCCAAATCTCCCAGCAAGAGTAACATTGGGCTCTGTTTTAAATTTTTTTCTTCTGAATTTTTGGGCAACTTTCTTAACATGCAAAGTAAATTCCATACTCCCTTGTCTCTCGAGAGTCACTATCCCTTGGATCTTGGGCCTCTGGTGGCTGATTAAGGAAGGGTACCTGTGTTCCTTCCATTCCCTTGGAGTCCATCTTTATATGTGTTGAGGAGGGAACCTTATCCCCACCTCATCAGGAATTATCTATGAGCCCACAAAGCTGTGGTAAAGAAGCCAAGCCACTTGTTTGGTGGATGGATGGGCAGCCACCTGGTCCTGAATCTCTGTGGTCTTAGAGTTCAACCTCCAATGATACATACTTTCCTGAAATCAAAGTTAAGTAACAGCCTGGCTCAATAAAAGGAAGTGTGGATCAATGTTCCATTCTCATTACTGCAAGTAATTGAGATTGGACAGGTCAAGGAAGGGAATGCCAGTTGTCTCAGGGGAACTTACCAGAGAAGGTGCTATGATGAATATTGCCTAAGAGATGAAGAAGGAAATTTGTATTTGTTGAGGGCCTATTATGTGCCAGGCACCTACAAGAAGCAGAAGTTAGAGCAGTAAATAACAAGACAGACACCTAATGGAGATTACAACCTAACAGGATTACTCTACATTAATCATCGTGTTTAATCCTTGCAACTCTGCAAAGAATTAATATAAAGGATTTCATATTTTATAGACAAAAATGCTAAGCTCAGAGAGGGAAATAGTAAGGATGCTTTTGAACCCACATCTGGCTGATTCTTTTTTTTTTTTTTTTTTAATTTATTTACTTTTGGCTGTGTTGGGTCTTCGTTTCTGTGCGAGGGCTTTCTCTAGTTGTGGCAAGCGGGGGCCACTCTTCATCGTGGTGCACGGGCCTCTCACTATCGCGGCCTCTCTTGTCGCGGAGCACAGACTCCAGACACGCAGGCTCAGTAGTTGTGGCTCACGGGCCTCGTTGCTCCGCGGCATGTGGGATCTTCCCAGACCAGCGCTTGAACCCGTGTCCCCTGCATTAGCAGGCAGATTCTCAACCACTGCGCCACCAGGGAGGCCCTGGCTGATTCTTAAAGTCCTGCTCTTGGGAATTCCCTGGAAGTCCAGTGGTTAGGACTTGGTGCTTTCACTGTCGTGACCGGGGTTCAGTCCCTGGTCGGGGAACTAAGATACCGCAAGCCTTGCGGTGCGGCCAAAAAAAATCCTGCTCTTTCCATCATTACTCTGTCTGCCCACCCGTCACTTTCTTTGTTGAAGAGGGAATCTAGTCTATAAACAGACGTGACCTTGACCACTCTGCTAAACATCTGAACCGGTTACTATTGTTAACTCGGCGGTCGGCTTTGTTTGACTATGGTGGTCAGTTTCTCTCTCTAACCTGCATTCTCTCTAACCACTGTTGTCCACTTATCCTTCTGTGTGAACCCACCCAGCTGAACCCTACTTCTAGGACATTTCTGCCCTGCTCCTTCCTGGGGTGCCGGCTGCTACTAGAGAAATTCCCAAGGATGCCTGGAAACCCTTCCAGATGCCCCTAGATCCTTCCCTGTCCATTGCCACTGGCATCTCCTCCTGACCGTCCCTCTTTCACCAACCCTTCTTTTTAACCTCCGTGTCTGTCATCGTCATTGACAGAGAACCCAACTTGCCCTTTGATAAAACAACAAAATTAAGGTCCCAAGAAACTCCCTCAAGGTCCTCCCGCTCAACCACCTAACACATCTCCTGCTCTTCCTTCTCCAACCCCCCCATGCCAGGGAAGGAGTGTGCTCCAGCCCCCAGCTGCCCTTCCCCTTGTTCCCCTGGAGCCTCCCTCCAGTCATTTTTCTCTCACTCACATCTTCACCCTTTTCTCTACCAACGTTTCTCATCAGTACCTGAACGTCTTCAGTCTCTTCAGTCTGAAAAATACCCAGTTCTTGATCCCATATTTCTAACCTCTCTCTTCAGTTTCCCTTTCTCTGTCTCTTCATGGCCAGCCTTCTTGAAAAAATCATCTCTACTGCCTACCTGCCTATTCAGTCCTCCATCACCCATTGCAATCTGGTTTCTGTTCTCATGATCAATGCCTAGACTAAAGTCACTAAAGACAGCCATACTCCGGGTCCAGAAGGTGCTTTTCTTCCCTCATCTGACTCCCTCTTTCTGGAACCTTGGTGCCATTGCACTCCCCTGCCCCTTGAGCCTCTCGTCTCTAGGCGTCCACCCTAGTTTGCTGGACATTTTTTTCATCTCCTTCACAGAGACCTCCTGTCCACTCACTCCCTGAACGTCCCCTGGGTCTGTATCCCACCCCCTGCTCTTCTTGCCCTCTGCCCCTGTTCCTTGGTGTCCCCAACCACCATGAGCTGACGGCTCCCAGCTCTCCCTCCTCCATACAGATCTCTTTTCTGACATCGGAATGCCCAGCTTCTCATGGACCTCTGCTGGTGGCTGTCCCACAGGCTCTTCCTACTTAGAGTTCTAAAGCCAAGCTCCACACCAGTCTCTTCCAAGACTTAACCCTCTACTTGTATCTCTTATTTTCAGGAATGTCACCCTTACCCCAGCTGCTCATGCCAGAGAAAAGAAATCTAGTAATTATCTCGGATTCCTCCTTCTCATGGCACCTTTTACATTCAAACAAGCATCCTGTCCAGATGAGTCTACCTCTTCCAATGCCTTGAATGCCCCCTTCCTCTCATTCCCCTACCGCTGGTGAAAGCCCTTATTGCTTCTCACACAGCTGTATGTCAAAGGGTCCCTGAGGGACCTTCTTCTGCACTTCCATCCTCCACTGGGGTCCTTCCTGGGTCATCCATCCAAGGCTGTCTGCTCAGGGCATCCTTCTGCTCTTCAGCGCTCCCAAAGCTCTTGGATAAAGTTCACACTCCTTCGCTTAATCATATCCATGGATCCACTTCCTGATCCATTTCTTGTCTACCTTTCCAGCCCCTCTCGAACATTACTCCCTGTGTGTCAACCACTCAGCATGCTGCAGGTTCCTGCCTCGGGACATGCCTTCACTGCAGTGTCCTCTTCCTTCTTCCTAGGGCTAACTTCCAGCTGTCCGTCCAAACTCAGCTCATACATCACCTCCCAGACCATAACTGCCTGGTACTGTCATCACAGTGTCATGCATCTCTTTCCTCACTGGCAGTTCCAGTGCTTAAGCATGTTGCCCAACACACAGAAGTTGCTCTATAAAAGGTAAAGGAGACCCACCATTTTTTCAGAAACTTTTAACTCTTACTCACAAAGCCTGATGCATCACGTTCGGGTGCATTGTAACAACTCTTCAGGGTGTGTCTGATCTTTTTTTTTAACGTTTATTTATTTAGGCTGCGCTGGGTCTTAGTTGCAACACATGGGATCTTTGTTGTGGCGTGTGGGATCTTTAATTGCAGCACGCATGTGGGATCTAGCTCCCTGACCAGGGATCGAACCCGGGCCCCCTGCACTGGGAGCGCAGAGTCTTACCCTCTGGACCACCAGGGAAGTCCCGTGTGTCCGATTTTTGAATAGAAACATCATTTGGCTTCAATAATCAGAAGTTTAGAAGCTGCACACTCAGCCCACTGAAACAGCTATTCCTTACTAATTCATTCCTCGACGAGTTAAGCAAAGGGAAGCACCGTGTGTCTCTCCTCGCTGCCACTTCCTCTTTACTGTGGGGTTTCTGCATTCCATGTATGATTGCATTCGGCTCTGGGGTTCACAGTGCAGCAGGACTCAAGGCTTGAGGTAGGAACTGGGGCCCCTGTGGGGGTAGCTGCTTGTTGATTTGAGGTGGATTAGAATTTCTGTCAACAGCGTGGCTTTCCTCAACCAGGAGCACACTGAGGCTTGGACAAAGTGCTGCTGGAAGGCAATGGTGCATTGGCCAGGGAAACCGTCATGTCCCAGTAGATTTGGTTGTAACTCACTCTGATTCTGTGGTGGAACAGAAGCAAATCTTCATGTTTTACAGAAGCCTTCCTTGTTGGTTATGATGCAGTGTTACCTACTGTACTTGAATTGTACTTGCTGCCGAATGTGCTCTCTGCAATAGATGAGATTCTCCCTAGTCTCTGGTCATCAACTGAGCCTGGCAAATAAGGCCCTCTGTCCAGCTGTGTGGATCGAGGCAGGTCCAATGGCCCAGACCCTGAGAGCCAGACCTATCAGGAGCCTTGCGCCTATCACCAAGTGGGATCTCTACGTCTGCTGCTCCTCTAAGCCCGGGCTCTCACATGACTGAGGATATTTGCTGGGGTCAGATACCTCACAGGATATGCACATCAGGACCTGAAAGGTTTGCAAATGACAAAGCTGACTCAAACTGACACATGCAAAGAAGATGAATTTACTAACTCAAAAGTCTAGAGGGAGGGCTTCCCTGGTGGCGCAGTGGTTGAGAGTACGCCTGCCGATGCAGGGGACGGGTTCGTGTTCCGGTGCGGGAAGACCCCACATGCCGCGGAGCGGCTGGGCCCATGAGCCATGGCCGCTGAGCCTGCGCGTCCGGAGCCTGTGCTCCGCAGCGGAAGAGGCC